TCTGGGACTTGTAGTTCTTAAGAGACCATATCTCATAGGAAGGGACACTATTCTCTGTGTCTCTTAAGTGCATTTTTAAAGGGCAGTTTAATATATATATATATATAAACCAGAGATTTACAAACTTTTTCTTTTTGTGTATTCCCTTCCAGTTTTACCAGCTGCCTGCATACCCCTACCAACATATGTTTTATATTTTAACCTTTTAAATGCGAATGATTATTATAATGAAAATTAAATCTGCCATAACACAATTTCTTTCATGTACCCCCCAGAGATGCCTTGTGTACCACAGTTTGGGCACCCCTGTTATGAAATCATGAACAGGCTATGCTCATTGAATATAATGTCATATTAGATATAATGTCATTTCTAAATTTTCATAGGTGCACGGGGCCAGCCTCGAGTTCAGTTTCAAAGGAGAGCCCTTACGTTGCCAGAGAACACCAGCTATAGTGATCTGACAGCATTTCTAACTTCAGCCAGTTCACCTTGGGAAGTAGACCGTTTTCCATATCTACAAGGATCAGATGGAAATGGAACAGGTAATTTTGAGTATTTTTTATACTGGTTGTGGGGAGAGAGATATATTTTTTACCAACTATTTGTTTCTGCCTCCACAAACAAACTCATCTTGAATTCTGATGATAATATGGGAGCTACGCTTCTGTTAAAATCCTAGGCCCAACAGGCAGATGTCAACCTGACAACGTGCCTGTGCAGATGGCCCTACTTGGCCCCCTTTTTGGCAGTCTCTGTATGGGAGTCAAGGGCTAAATCCATATGGATAATGAAGTCTTCTTCTCCCTTTCGCATAATCCCTACAGAAAAAAAGTTTGGTATGCATCAATCTTGGTGGAAAAAATAACTTCATTTTGCACTTCTCCTTTGGTGACCTGTCTTCAAGTGTGTCAATTTGAGTGGAGTTTTTTTTAAGTTCTACGTTTTTATCCCGTTTTAATAAAAAGTAAAACCCTGATGTGTGGGAAGGGTGAAAGAGAATTTGTTCCTTAGATGCTGCAGAATTAGTCATCCCTAATTATTCTTTTGTTTGGAAGTATGTAAAATGCCCACGTTCTGGGGATTTAACATTGTACATTGTGCTGGTGCTCCAACAAAGAGTTGTTTCAATAGTCTTGGTAAATACAGAATAATTTTGGATCCCACTTAAACAAAAAGCCATACAGATTGTTTTACTACAACGAGAAAAAATATAAAAACTTCTTACAAAAAACAATCTCCACAAGACATTGAACTCAAAGCCTTATTACATTTTAAATCTTAAGTTGAATCACCTGCTGCTATCTTTCCTTTTCTAGCTTAGTCTTCTCGGGCTGCAGTTATTTCTGCTTGTTAATAGAGGACATTTAAAATATTGTCTCAAGTGCATACGGTGTATGTGAGTGATCTTGCCAACATTTCCATAAATAACTGACAAAATACAATTCCCCCCAGCCCCTGTTCCCTCGTGTGAACGCAGTAATTTGTCTCCTCTCCTTTCACCCATCTGTTTGCCCCAAGGAGCCAATCTTATCTTCTCTCCTGAACTCCCTCTTGCAAACTCTTCCCTCATTCTTTATATTACTGTATTTACCTAAGTCCAAGACAACTTGGAATTTAAGGAGCCGGGCCCCGATGCCTGCAGCGCGGAGCAGGCAGCAGCTCCTCCCCAAGGCAAGGCAGGGGCAGGGACCAAGCCGCGCACTGCACAGGCTCCACTGGCTGCAGGAACCTGCTCCGGTCCCCAGCCCCTTCAGGCAAGCTTCGCCCCGAGCCCCGCCAGCTTCACCTTAATCTTAGCTTTCATCCCTGTGCCGCAAGCCCCACAGCTCCCGCGCCAAAGCCCGGCAGCCCCATGGGCCTACTCCCTGCCTCTGCGCCTCGGTGCAGCCTTTGAAAGCAATGCCATGTGCCTTGCTCCGGACCCGGCCAGTGGCAGGATGCACACGGTGCTGCACCGCTTTCAAAGGCTGCAGTGAGGCGCGGAGGCAGGGAGCCGTCAGAGCGCAGCCTGCATGTGGGTCCGAGAGACATGACAGGGAGGTACACACACTTAATGTAACAGGTACTGGAGACAAAGTCAGCTCTTTGGTAACTGAAGACAGAGAACTCAAATGCTTGGCCATATTTAAGTATTAATTAAGTCTTAATCCTGGCCACATCGACATGATTACAAGGTAGCATGTGGGTATTACAGCTAGTTTCTTCTATTATTTACAACAATGCAAATTAAAAGCAGAATTGGGCCTTTAAAGAAAAACATCTAATAAGATAATAAATAGACTGAGACAAATATTAAAGAATGCATCTGGTACACAGTATAATATTAAAGATTAAAGGGGGAAGCAGACCAATTCGGGAATGGACCGAAGCAGCGTGCTCGCGGACTAAAGTGGGGTGCTCATGGATGGCTACACCTTAGAAGGAACATTGCCTGCATCCACTGTGCAGTTTCCCCCACATTCTTCCTTCTGTAAGTTCCTCTGCCACATAAGCCACCCTAGCCTGGGGCAAGCTCCAGGTTCATCTCCAAGCCAAGGGCCAAAGCCAGAGCTAAGCTTCCACCTGCTCCAGGCAGATACTCAAAACTAAAATGAGGTTTTCTTTTTCCCCTATGGGGATTGTTGTGAGGGGGTGGGAGGACCTTGTCTCAGATTACAAGAAATATAGTAATCTTTAATGTTTTGCCCATCCCTAGTTCCTTCCCTTGTCAGATATGTTGTAGTCTCAAGTATCTTTGCTTTTCCCCTCCTAATTGACCCCAGTTGCTACACCCATACTGCCCCCCTGTCTCCAGCAACTATCTGTAGTTCCCCTCCTCCAGTTCCATCCAAGGCTCTTTCCAGTCTGGCATCTGGTCCTTGGTCTCTGCTGAAACCATTCTTGACAGAAGATCTGATTACTTCCTTTTAGCCGGACCTTGGAACAATTGGAACTATTCTTTCCCCTTAACTTTTTGGCTGCCTTTAACACAGTTGACCATGGTCATCTTTGGGCAGCAAATGTACACTTGGAGTGACTTCATAAAGGGAGGAGGCGCTCAGGAGCAGAGGCACAGCAGCAGAGTTCTGTGTCTAGGACAACCACATGACTCCTAGGACAGCATCAGCTCCCACCATGTTGATTGCAGGAGAAGAGATGGGGCTACTTTTGCTCTTCCTCCCTCCATAATGGCAGTACCTGGGGCTGTTGTCCCATACTGCAGTAATGAGTCAGTGTCTCATGTAGATGCAGCCAGTGTCATCCATCTCTTGCATCTCTCCACTAGCTTCCTCTTTATCACAACAGGCTACACTTTCCAGGCCCCTTGCAGTCTAGTGGCTCTCCCATTCATTAACAAGTATTGTCCACTCTCCTAAACTACTCAGGATGCCAGCCTGTGTCACGGAATTGTTAAATTTTCAGATAGACATCTTTCATATAGACATCTCTTATGCCACTTCTCACAGTTGGGCAGCTTCACTTCTGTTTACACATTTCTCTTAGAATTCTTCTTTGCCATGAATGAATAAAATGCTTGACAACAGCGTTCTGCGACCACTGCCTTTCAAGCTGTCTACTAATTGTCTCATTGGGTGCTTGCCGACATTTAAAAAAAACAACAACGAAAAACAGTGCTTTACTTTAAACTGTGCACATTCCCATGCTAAGCCCCATGCATGCCCAAAAGAGGCAGCATGTTACTTCCAGCCGCCTCTGCAGAGTCTGTAGAGATCATGTGCTTTAGTGGGGCTTTTTTGGCACTTTTATTTAATAGCTGAATGAATTGGCTTTAGCTAAAAGCCCTGCTGAAGTGCCAGTCTTTACAGATGCTGCAGAGCTGGGTTGAAGTAATGCGCTGCTGCTTTTGGTAAAGCACTTTTTTTTTTAAAACATCTGCAGGTAGCTATTGTTTCCTTGTACTCCTCTGTCTGTCTGCATCTTCCTGTTGTCTCTTTGGAACAGGAACCATTTTTTTTCCCCCTGTGTTTGTCCAGTATGTTTCACAGGGGATCCTGGTCTATGACAAGGACTCTTGGCCCAATGGTAATACAAATAATAATTAATAAGAAAGGATTGTATGAGCATTAATTGCTAGGAGTGACATAATCTCCAAGTCTAAAAAGTGGCTCTCCTGTAGAACAGGAGCCATGCAGAATAACTTACCTGGATTCCCTTCTGTACCTCATAGAGGCATCTTAGATACATATTTCCAGTATCCCATTTATGGCATACCCATTTGTACCCTTTGACACCGCACTCAAAGGGAAACCTCCTGTAGCTGAGTGTGAGGGAGCTGTTAGCCATCATGCAAAAGTATCGTAGGTATATCCAAAGAAATAGGGTTTAGGAGTTTGAAGATATAAGGTTCAAAATTACAGGTCAGGTAAAATGTCCTCTACTAATACTAAATGGCTTTTTTTTCTTGTCCTCAAGAAATGTTAAGAGTGTACGTTTTCTAAGTGTGGTATTAATTTCTCAATATTTAAAGCTTCTCACTTGAAATATTTGTTAAGTATACCTTAGGTTTATCAGCTGTTGAGTAAAAGATGAGACTACCAGCTACTGGGGATTATTTCATTTTTTTAAATTCCCATATTTAAGAAAAAGAACAAAAAAGGCACTTGAAAATTACTTAATCCCAAGTGACACACCAGTAATTTCTGTAGGAAGTATAGATTCTTCCTGAACAGAGTTTGCTGTCGGTTTCAGCTAAGTTCTTATCTTACATAGAGACCAGTAGTATTTAGAAGCATATCCTCCCATTGTTTAAATATATTTACCCTGCTGTCTGGTGTGCATCCATTGTAGCTTCATAGCAGTTTTAACTAAAAAAAATATATCCTTTTGAATTCAGTAGGTGATTTTCAAGGATTCTTGCCTGTCTATTTAGGACAGTAACATGGGACAATTAACATGTAATGCACAACTCAGTCTATTATAAACAGGAGCAAGAAAAAAGCCTTTTGAGCCTTGGCTTAATGTTTATGTTAACCTCATGTTGTGGAGTGGTAAGATGGCTTCATAAGATCCAAGTCTTTTGAGCAAACAAAACAATACTCTCTGTATTCTAATGAAATAAAATACCCACAAATTGTGGTGTTACTTCAGCTATTGCTATGGACTCTTTTGTAAAGAGTGGATTCAAAGTCATAATGGATTTCCCTTATAGATTTTTCTAGGGCATTTTACAGGTCACCAGGTGTCAAAAATGACAAGAAATAAATGCAAACTGACATTTATTGCAGTTGCTCCAATTTTAATCGTTGTACATGCATACCCATTCATAGCAGCTGCGTCTTTCATAAGCATTCGTTTAATTTGCTTTCACAACTCAGGCAAGAAACTTAATTTTTATATGAAAAAATAGATTTTGTGGATCGGGTGATGGCTAACACGTTCCTTGTTGTTGTAGGAAATGGATTTAAGGAATACGCTTGCCACCTTAGAATGTAAACTTTTCAGCCTGGCACTATTACATGAAATGTTAACATAAATTGAAAGGAGGCAAAGAAATCTTCACCAGAACTCCCTCTTTTCACTGGGTGATTTATTTTACATGTACATGTTAGCTATCACGTTTACAAAGACACTGGCACCAAAAAGAGCAAAATTTGGAACTAGAAGCTGTCTAACATATAACCTACATTTCAGATGTTTATAAAATCCAGCGTAAATACTTAGAAGATAACTCTCATCCCTGGGGATTTATACATGCAAAAACAAAGTGATCAGGTACTGACATGCTTTGTTAACAGAAATATATTTCTCTGACAAGCTGACAACTTGCATCACTCTGAAGAGGAATTCCTCATTACAGTATTGAGTTCTTTACTAGCATGGCTAAAACATGCTTTCATTGTAAATTAAGTGCTGTTATGTGGTAAATGTAACTACCATCTAACAAAACTGAGCCTTTCTGCCTGCATACATCAGACTACACCAAATTCTTGACCAGACTCTACTAGACACAGTTATTTGTTGTATTTGTATTGCATATAGGCGGTGGAAGCTGCGGGAAGCTACCAAGGAGGAGTATACCTACTTGGCCTGGAATTGCAGGGAGGCAGTTAGAAAAAACAAAGCAACTACAAAGCTGAGGCTGGCAACACAAATTAAAGACAACAAAAATCTTTTTTTAGGTATGTAGGGAGTAAAAGAAAGGTGCAGGGCAGCATAGGACCCCTACTGAACAAGAAGGACCAATTAGTGACAGAGATGGGGAGCAAGGCTGAGCTATTCAATGACTTTTTTGCCTCAGTGTTCCTGAACAGGGCTCAAGATAAGTCTCCTAATGGGCTCTTAGATGGACATCAGAGGGACATCCGCCCACCAACTGTCAACGCTGACTTGGCGCAGAGTCACTTGGATGGACTGGATGTGTTCAAGTCAGCAGGCCCAGATGAGCTTCATCCACGGGTACTGAAGGAATTGGCCGGTGTCATAGTAGAACCACTGGCACGGGTGTTTGAGCGCTCATGGCGCTCGGGTCAGGTCCCAGGGGACTGGAAAAGGGCCAATGTGGTCCCTATTTTCAAGAACGGGAAGAAGGAGGATCCGAGTAATTATAGGCCAGTCAGTCTCACCTCCATCCTTGGAAAGGTCTTTGAAAAGATTATGAAGGATTATATTTGTGGCAGTCCAGCAGGAAAAATAATGCAGCAGGGAAACCAGCATGGATTCATAGCAGGTAAATCGTGCCTGACCAATCCGGCTTTGTTTTATGAGTCACAAAATGCTTAGACACAGGAGTAGAGGTGAATGTCGCTTTCTTGGACTTTAGCAAGGCCTTTGATATGGTATCTCATCCTATTCTCATAAATAAATTAAGAGGCTGCGACATAGATGTTTACATGGTCTGCTGGGTGGCAAATTGGCTTAGCGGTCACACCCAGAGAGTGGTAGTAGACTGGTTGGTATCAACCCGGAAGGATGTGAGTAGTGGGGTCCCACAGGGTTTGGTCCTTGGACCTGTACTCTTCAATATTTTGATCAGTGACTTGGATGTAGGTGTGAAGTGTACTCCGTCCAAGTTTGTGGATGATACTAAATTGTGGGGTGAAGTGCACGCTCTGGAGGGTAGGGAAAAATTGCAGGCAGACCTGGACAGGTTAGAAAAGTGGGTAGTACAAAACAGGATGCAGTACAACAAGGACAAGTGCAGAGCGATGCACCTAGGGTCCAAAAATATCCAGCACACCTACTGGCTGGGAAGTGACCCTCTCAGCAGCACAGAAGCGAAAAGGGATCTCGGAGTCATAGTGGACTCCAAGATGAACACGAGTCGTCAGTGTGACGAAATCATCAGCAAAGCTAACTGCACGTTATCATGCATCAGCAGATGCATGACAGAGAGAACCAAGGAGGTGATACTTCCCCTCTGTGTGGCATTGGTCAGACCGCAGTTGGAGTACTGCGTCCAGTTTTGGGTGCCGTACTTCAAGAAGGATGTTGATAGACTCGAGAGGGTCCAGAGGAGGGCCACTTGTATGATTAGGGGCTTACAGGACAAGCCCTATGAGGAGAGACTAAGGGACCTGGACCTCTTCAGCCTCTGCAAGAGAAGGCTGAGGTGATCTTGTGGCCACCTACAAATTCATTAGCAGGTCACAGCAAGAGGTCAGAGATGCTCTGTTCACCAGGGTGCCTCTTGGGGTAACAAGGAACATGGTCACAAACTGACAGAGATCAGATTTAGGCTAGATATCAGGAAAAACTTCTTCACAGTAAGGGTGGCCAAAATTTGGAATGGGCTTCCAAGGGAGGTGGTGCTCTCCCCTCACTTGGGGGTCTTTAAGAGAAGGCTGGATAGGCATCCAGCTGGGGTCATCTGACCCCAGCACTCTTTCCTGCCTATGCAGGGGGTTGGACTTGAAGATCTGTTGAGGTCCCTTCCGACCCTAGCATCTATGAATCTATATGATACTTTAATGACTTACTGTAGTGTTTCTGAGGTGCAGAATGGATGATTTCAGAGATTGGTGTACATCTGATGTACAGTCCTGTGATTCTAGATCACTGTTTTTGTGTGGTCCAGATCAGTAGTGATCAAAAGCTTTTTCCAATGTGTGCCTGTGTTTGCCTATATGAAATTAGTGGTCTGAACTACGGAAACTGCATTTTAGAATTCTCCTAGATTGAGAAACTTAGAAAATGGGACGTCTGTTTTCTTGCAGTACCTGAAAATGAGTTTAATTTTATTTTCTCTTTATGACCATTTTTCATCAAATAGTACAGAATATAATGTTTAATAGAAACATGTAACTTGGAATGTTAGGATGATATTTATTCAGTTGTTTTTTCACTTGATAGGAAATAACACCAGGTATGACCTTACCCCTGTTACTGCAGTCAGTGTTCATTTGCTCAACAGTGACGGGACTCCAATCCCAGTGAATGGCCCCATCTATGTAACAGTGCCTCTGCCAGCAAACAGCAACCTGAAGCACAATGCTCATGTTCCAGCATGGAAGTTTGACCAAAAATTTGGTAAGCAATTCTTGGTAACTGTCTTGCATGTGGTTTCATTTCTCAAACTAGTTTTCTTGCTGGTTTTCATGTGTTGGTATTGGGTTCCCCTTAGAGCGTACAAAAATCTGCCTTCTTTCTTTATATGAAAATAGAAAAAATAGAAAAATAGAAAATAGAAAAAGCTGGATGATTAGTTTTTAGAAATGTAACTTGGCTGCATAAAGTCTCTGTTTCTAGTTAAAGCATTTCATGCAAACTTCAGAGTATTTGCAAAAGGAATATTAACAATATTCAGTATTTTTGCATAAACACTCAACTGCGTTCCAGCAGTGTCTATTTCAATGTTTTCCAGGAATTTTTTTCACCTAAGGACTGGGAAGCAATGCCGCTTACTAGACTAGGAGATCTGAATGTTATTCCTGGCTCTGCCATAGGCCTGCTGGATGACCTTAAATAAGACATTTCAGCTGTCTGTTTCCCCATATATCAAATAGGGATACTGATACCAATTTAGTAAATCACTTTGAACTTCACAGATGACAAGCTCTTCATAAGAGCCAAGTAGTAATATAATAGGGTTCTCCCTTATACTTATAGAAATTACAAAACCAACCATGGGCATATAAAAGTTATCTGAACATTTTGAAACATTAAGGACCCTCAGAAACCTAAGCCATAAAGCGCACTGAATTGTTTCTGCTGCTCTTTGCTGAGGGGGAATTTCACTCCTGTACTGAGCATCAGTACAAGGTATCTGCCTCTTTCGCCCTTATGTTTTCAAGGTATAAACAAGGCTTGCATTGTACATAGAGTGGAGCTGGCCCTCTGCTCAGGGATGAATTTCACCTTGAATAACTTAATTGGTCTGTGAAGAACACTTCAGATGAAGACAGGAGAATGGATGAGAAAGCTAGAGATTAGGAAATATAAGAAAAATGGAAAATCAAGAATCATGGATCACTGGAAAGAATTAAATTATATGCCCCTGGCTGGTGAAAGATTTCGATGAAGTTAGGATATCTTGCAGAAGTTCTTAGAAGAATTGGCATGAAACCATTGTGTTTTTTCTATGGTGAGAATTTTGCTTATCTCTTGCTTCTATTTACTAAAGTGTGTGTGTGTGTGTGTGTGTGTGTGTGTGTGTGTGTGTGTGTGTGTGTGTGTGTG